AATTTATAATATAACCTTTAAGGACTTTGTTTCTTGAGATACTTCATGAGATGCGATTTCTGTATCATCAGCATTTGCAGGACTACCTGCCTGAATCAGAAATTTAAATATTTATATAATTTGTGGGACATAGGTCTAAATCAATATAGATTTACAATTTATTAGTGAAGATCATTAAAAAAATATGCATCATAAAAAGTAATTTTAAAAAAACAAATAAAAATAATATATAAATACCTCGACAGCTAACTTTTTTTCCAAAGCATCGATAACGTTACTATCAACCGTATAGCCAAGTATCCCAAACCGATTGTAGTTATTGGATACATTAAAACTGTTAACATCTATCTTAAAAGCCATCTTTTTATGCTCCAAACATTTGAGGTCGTAAGGATATAATCTTGGATTATCCCCAGCCTGGAATAAATGTGTTATATAATATATTTATGTTTAAAAGCACATTAAACTAAAGAAAATACAACAAATAACAACAATTAAGAAAACAAAAATTAAAATTACGTTATACCTGTTTGATTTTATCTATAAGATCACGTGCGCGTTTTTTGACGATTCTATAAGCATCTCTATCGAAGAGAGTTAGAGTGATTGTTCCAGAATCATCTTGCACACGAATAGGTATTTTATACCTATAAAAAATTCCCAGATAAATAAACATTAAATATGTTTAATGGTTAATAATGTAGTTAAGTTGTTCTTTGATATTTTCTTAAATGTAAAAAAACCTTGGAACAGAAGAGATCGTCTTATTTTTACAATTATCACCATTGCATTTTAAAACGACACTTGCATCACCACTATCTGCACCACTGAACAAATCTTCTGTTTGAACTTTCTTTCCACAGTTTGTACACGCATCATAATACCAATCAATATCTTGGCGAATACCATAAATGGTCCCGACAATGATATATTGGCCGACCTAAAATAAAATCAAAACGATCATAAAAAACATTATAATTTTATTATCTGTTAAATAGAAAACAATATGACATCAATACAGATAAAATATTCACATACCTCTTGTGGTTCTATCAAATCGACAACATTTTTAACTTTGTAGTTATTCAAAAAGTCATCAAATTCCGAATATGATTTAGAGCTTTCAACAGTCAAAGAAGCAGAAGGGTTTTGAAGTCCTCTTAATCCAACCAAGCTGTTTTTAATTTAGGAGTTTGAAAATAAAATTATAAAATTATTGAACAGAAACAACAAAACGATGAATTATTAAAAGTACAGTTACCTATCTGTGAATGTAACAATTTCGGGAAGATTAGCATTTATGAACATCCGTGTGTGTTCAAAATAACTGTTCACAGAAGGTGTTGCTGATGAAACAAAATAAAATAGTAAATAGAATGAGTAATATAAAAGACTAAAATAAGGTTGATTGGTATAAAAAATTTACCGTTATAGACATTAATTCTTGCAAATTGCAAAAGGACAATCACACGACCAACTTCTTTATGAGCTTCAAGATAAGAAATTAACTGGTATGCAATATCTCCAAACAACGTAACATTAACCTGCAAACCTCTGCAAAAATAATAATGGTTAAATGAATATATAATACTAAAATTCTACATGCAAGTTGTAAAGTAATGAATATAAGATATAAGATATAATATAAAAAAAGTTTTGGTTACTCTAAGTTTCTTATTTGTAAAGGCAGCCTATGTAGAGATTTGCTGACATCACGGGAATCAAGCTTTCCTAATGAAACAACTTCACCAATAATATCTACAAAATGATAATACAGAATGTCAAAATGATGTGAATTTAAAGAATTAAATATAATATACAATCAATAAGGAGGGAAATTACCAATTGATTCATTAGATGTAGCTGTTGCAGAGATAATTGTTTCAAAAGAAACAAAAGAAAATCCATATTTTGTTTTTGATTGAAAGTGTAGACACTCGTTAACAGTTGTTCTTCTATGGAAATTTAACTTGGAGGTTACATCACTTATTTTAAAAGTGTATTTGTTAGGAGCGATAGTGGGGGACCGGATGTAAACAGCTTGATCTTCTTTCAATTTGGACTCAAACCTTTGAAAATCTCTTGGATACACACTTGCTCGGATTTTTGTACACTATTCACATAGGGTAAGAATATTATATAATGTTAAAAACGGAATTTTTAATAAATATAAATTGGTCAACATTGAAGATAACATTTTCAATGATTGAGTTTGAATAATATTATTGGAATGATCAAATAAAAAAAATGGTTTTGAATAATGCTATGAAAATAGTAGATTTTACCATTTCATCCATGAGTATCATCTCAATTGATCTGACAATAGTGGGGTTGCCATCTTAATGCGAAGGGATGCGAAGGGTGTAAGAATGAAGATGCGAAGTATTTCACAGTAGAATGCGAATTGGGGAAGAAAACAGAAATTTTCAAATATTGTCCCTGGAGTTTCGCATTTTTGGAAATAAATACTCAACTTCGCAAATGGGGGTCATAAAATGATGAAATTGTAGTCTTAATTTATGGAATTTAAATGATTGAAATTTTAGAGCTCATCAAAAGAATTGACAAAGGGCAAAATTGACATCTGATGCATTGTTTATTTTGTTGCGTGTTCAATATTATGAGAAATCTCATTTGACAGCTTGATTAGAATCTTTTTTAATACAATACCTCAAATAATATCAAAGCACATTCCCAAGAATGCATGCACCAATATACCATTTTATTGTGAAAATTATGAATATGTCCATGTTTAAAAAATGATCATTATTTTGAACAGGAATTTATAGAATGTATTCAAATTTGAGACATCTTTTTTATAAAGCAAATATACTGATATCTTATAACACGAAATTGAAAAGTAGAATGTTATTGAATGTAATTTTTTTTTATTTTTATTGCAAATATATTGGTAAAAAAATCTGAATGTGATAGACCTAGAAACAACACACGTTTTAGAGTTATGTTGGTTGTTACTGGTGGACATTTAGTTGGTTGTGTATTTGATGGAAACCCCAAATGTTGCCCATAAATTATTCCAGAGGTATGTACTTTATTTATGTTATCACTTTAATTTCATCAGAAAATTATTTATGAGGTTAAAATGAATACATCCTTGCCCAGAAAATTAAACTAAAAGATGATAAATTACAGATTATAGCATTGTTCTTTGAGAATAAATTACTAAAAATGGGATATAGTGTAACAGGAACTTCAAAAAGAAATTGATACTTTTTTGTTTATTATATAAACGGTTTGATAAATCAGACGAAAATAATTAATAAACAACTTCTGAATCAAAGATAAATAGAAACCTTGATTAACAAATTCAATGAGAAGCAAAATTGAAGTCGCAGAAGAAGAAAAAAAAATTCAATTATACGATTAACACAAACATTGAGAAGCAATGATACTTAATCATGAGAAACTCACCGAATGATTGAAGTTGCTGATTCAAGATTCGAAATTAAGAAGCAGAATTGAGATGCAGAGACGGTCGTAGGGATTGAATTATGTAATTGAAGCGGAATATGATTGATATAGTATGTTATGCGCATAATAATTGATTGATATGCATACCATTTTTAGATGCTCTTAATCGGGCATGTAACGGAATTGATTTAATGTATACAGCAGATATTCCATATTCAAATTTCAAATTAGAAAATATCGATATTTCCAGATTCAATATTCCAAAGATTTCGATACAATATCATTATTTCCATCCATATTCAATTTGTAATGCTACGTGAAATTCCATATTCCATATATTCCATATATAATCTAATCTAATTCAATTCCATACATAATTACCTATTTTATCTATTACCTAATGATACGTGAAAGGATGCTGAAGGGGTAATAGAGTAATTTAACATAGGGCGAAAAATGGATGATTGTAATGACACGTGTCCAGTTGGTTTTGTTTATTAGATAGGGAGATTTTTATTTTATATGTACATAATTTATGTATAAACTTATTTATAATACCTTCAATAACCGATTGGTATTTTCTAAAATAGTATTTTCTAAAGACAAAAATTGATAGTCGTGACAAGCATTCCATTGGGCCAAAATTTCAAAGTCCAGTCCAATTTTAAAGACCTGAACAAAATCACAAAATTCCCCAAATATTCCGTATTCCGTGTCCGTCCGGTAATCTTATTCTGACACTGCCGACTGCCGCCCGACTGCTTGTGAAGTCGATGGCTTTTAACAACAATCAAAACTAACGCAGGAGCTCATCATTTCAGGCAAGTTTTTACGTTACCAATTCCTCATAAAACTTGATTTTGTCATTAGATGAGAAAGGGTAATGTACATAGTAGTGTTTGATCGAATAAACCCTATTAAATTGTATCTTGATGGCAAATGGTTCTACTCATGGAGTCTTCTGCTCTAACCCTACACTAATCGGGCATATTCTGCTTCTTCGGGTCAGATAGACCATATGAATATTTGTTTGTTGCATGAATTTGCTATGATCTTTGATGGAGCTGTCGGTTATTCTGATAATAAAATCGATAATTTCTAATACCTTAAGTGTTGTTTAGAAGATGAAGAATCATCTAATCAAGAAAACAGCCCATGTTCTTTAATCTCCCGTATATGAAACCAAATTGATTATCTATTTATCTGATACCTAACCTTTAAGGGTTGTTTGGATGTGCATTTTGAATGTGATTATGTGATATTGAATGAAATTGCTACAAGAGATAGTCTTAGGATGAGCCTTCGCTACTTTAAATTGTAACTATCAGTTTTGATGGAGTTGAAGTGTTTGGAAAATTTTGATTATTTAAGGAAACATAACATAATATATATAAAGTTAGGGCATACTCTGGTTGAAAATCCTGGATCCATCACTGATCACTGTCATAATTCTTTTCTTATTATAGTGCTGTGCATATGGTTAGCTTAGCCTTAACTATCTATTATGACATTGTAGGGTTTTTGTTATGAAATGCTTGCTTCTTAACTGAAGAAAATCGAATACGAAAATGAAGGAGCAGATTGGGTACATACCACCCCGTTATATTCCCCTGGGCCAGTCTGATCGTGAACCATCAGATCTAGAGACAAGTATACTTCCAACCAATGATCAACCTCCATCTCCATCTTCATCTCCCAAAAAGAATGATGTCCCAATCGAGTGGTCCTCTGGAATATGTGCTTGTTTTGATGATCTTCAGAGCTGTAAGCTAACTTCTTCCCCATTTGCATTCTACTTTCACAAGTTGATAACTATTATTATGCCAGCAATAGCAACCTGCTTTCATTTCTTCCTATTACAACATTCTACTTTGAAAAGTCTACAATGTTCATATCGGTTTGAATGAGAGTGATTGACCGTTTTGCCCTTGGTTATTGGTTTGATTTGTTTTGTGGGATAGGCATTGTTGGTAGTGTATGCCCTTGCTTTCTTTTTGGAAAGAATGCAGAGTTTCTAGAATCCAACAGTTTCATGGGACCATGTACAACACATTTCATCATGTGTGGCATCATCAATACCTTTTGCTGCTTCATAACTGGAGGCTTGATTCTAGCCTTTCCTGGATGCTTTACTTCATGCTATGCCTGTGGATACCGCAAAGCACTACGCGCAAAGTTTAATCTCCAGGTATGCAATACAGAAATAGCAATGTACTTTAAAATAAAACATATTACAACATTCTTATTTCAAATTATTTCTAACACCCTTTTTATAAAACCGGGTAAAACAGTAATTCTGAAAATAGTTAATCTGGTAACATTCTTTTTCTATGTGTAGAAAATTTGGTAAGGTTGATGGTAACATTTGTGGTAGCTATAGAATTTCCCATTTCTCAAATTTGTTTTTTCCTAAAACAATTTCCAAGTGGTTTCTCATGACAATGACTCGGGTTTTTGTTTTCGAAAATTCAGGAAGCTCCATGTGGGGACTTTGTGACACATCTTTGCTGTCACTTATGTGCGGTGTGTCAAGAATATAGGGAAATCCGTGAAAGGTCTCTCAACATCGATCCTCATGCAAGTATAGTAGAAATTACACCACCTCCTCTTCAAACAATGGATTAGATAGTCTTATGTTTGTTTTCTTTGTTTCAAAATAGAGTTATGCCATAATATATATGATTTTATTAATGTTGTTTGTTTTGAGTATTGATATTATATATACTTCAAAACCAATACTTTTCATCCCTTTTGAGGCGTTGATCCGAATATTATATTACAACAAACATATATGAATGTATAATATTAATTGAGAAAAGGATGAGAGAAATGATAGACGATGAGGCACATGCACTGAAGAATGCATGGTGCTTGCAAGTTGCAAACAAGGAGTATGATGTTAAATAATAATAATAATTGAAAATAAAAACAAGACATGGCTCATTACCTTTCCGGATTATTGAAAGGCCAACTTTGTAGTTATCAATAATGACTTATTATTTGACTTTCGCATTTCTAAATACCATTTACATGAATGCGAACAGAATATTATCCATCTTTGTTTAAATACTTTACGCATCCAATAATATATATTGCAATAATAATTATGTGTAGAAATAATATGATAATCATATAGTTGATTGACTTGGTATTTGGTCTAAATAAATATTCATGGGGTCGATCTTATTGTCCTTCTTAAAGATTATGTCCACTATGCTTATTAAGTTATGTTCATTTACTTTTATTTTAGTTTTGTTTGTAACATATATTTGGTATGATCTTTTTAACTTAAATCTCTCCAACAATTGTCATTTCAATTACAGATAAGGTTATAATCCGATTTGTTTCACTTAATTAGGGCACGATTTGTAGGGATGACTTATCTTTTTAAAATTTTAACTAAACATGAGCTACATAAATCCTCCATGTAGTTAACCAAAAACTATGAATTGTGTTATCCTTAATTTTCGCATTTCTTGTCGGGTTAAGATTGAATATAGCCAACGAACTACTTGAGTTATTTATTGTTAAATGTGACTTGAGCATTTGAAGGATTCTCATGAAGCATTTGAGTTCAGTGGAGCACTTGGAGTTCAATGGAGCATCTAAGAAGGGAATGGAGCATGTGAGAAGGGAATGGAGCATCTAAGAAAGGAACGAAACACCTAAGAAAGGAATGGAACACATGAGAAGGGAAAGAGACATTTGATGATGCTCCATGATGAAGATGTACCATCTAGAGAGTGGATGTGCCAACTTGGTGTATGGATGCACCAATTGGGAAGAAAGTGTGCCATCCATGATGAGGATGTGCCACCTTGGAAACCTGATGTGCCACTCTTGAAGAGGATGTACCACCTCTTGCACAAGATACACCATACTCAAGCTTGATTCACCATCTTGGTATAAGGGTGCGCCACATACATTCTTGAGGAGCGATGGCATCCCTTGATGAACCACTTATGATACAAGGTACACTCAGATGTTTAAGATTGTTCGAGGATGCTCGGATGCTCAAGGTGGATGACCCAAATGGCATGATGCACCATTTTGATGGAGAGTGCACCATCATGATGGAGGATGCTCCATCATATGATGCGTCATTAGCATTCCTAATGAGACCTCTTGGTTCATGATGTTCCATCACGTGTATTGCCGATGCTCATTCAAAGTAGCTTAAGGATAAGGGTTTCAGAAGCGAGTGCATATCAGAATGTGATTGTTTGACACCTTTCATGGGCCTATGGATTAATGGGTTTGGCCTATTAGGGTTTTATGTCTAATCTCTAGTCTATAAATAAGGGTGTATGCTAGTCATTTGTTTGTGTCTTGAATTCTAGTGAGCAGGTGAATCTCTTTTGAATTGTATTTGTAACTTCTGTTTGAGAGCTCATAAATAAATAAAAAATACTCCCCTCCTGCTCGTATTATTTCTTGTGTGCTTTTGGTTTCATGTTTTATCCGCTTTACTTCCTAACATTTCTAAAACACCAATTTATACACTTCATTAAATTAAAATGTAACCAACAATGAAAATTTTCTTTAATCCGTCCTTATGACTTGTTATAGGTACAACTAGATAACAAGTTATGAATTTTTTTCATAGTTTTTATCCAAATTTTAAAATTTTGTTTTGAATTTGGTCCAAACAATTTTTTTTACAATTTTTTTAAATATCCTCATACATATTCATTTTTATGCATGTATTTTAAAGATTTTTTTTTTCAATATTATAACTTGGTGTTTTTTCACAAATTCGTTTATACAAATTTATTTTCTAACTTTTTATATATTTATTTTCATAAAGGGAAACTCCAAAAATGTTATAATATTTTACCCTAATTTATGAAAAAAAATCTTATATTAAAATTTGTTTACGAAAAAAAAATCAATTACCGGTAAAAGTAACGATTTGGTCCCTTTTTACCGGTTTTATTACTTATCTGGTTTCACTAAAACCCCATTATTTTACCCCAATTTATGAATAAGTCCCAAATTAAAATTTAGTGATGATTTGACTATTTTCTCCATGTAACATACATTTTATCGCTGACCTGGATACCTAGTCATTAAATGAGCTGATAAGATGGATACGATGGGTTATATAATGTTACATTTATCATAAAATTTGATATCAATCTCATCAACTCATTTATGACTATGTATCCAGGTCAGTAATGAAACAGGTAAAATGTGTGTTTTTGGGAAAAAGAAGCTAGGAAATGAGTTGATGTTTGATGAGATGGATATACCGGGTTACATACGATTAGATTGAGAATTTGAAATTTCTTATAAACTTAAAAATGTCTAAGTTTTTCATAGTTTATGTAATTATTGCAGTTTTCGTTGAATGCATTTTATATTCTAAAAAATTTACAATACATCAGGATATCAAGTTTTATGGTAAACATAACATTATATAACCCAACATATGCATTTAAAAACTAGGTGTCCAGGTCAACAATGAATTCTGTAAAATATATGTTACTGGGAGAGTTTTATGGTAAACATAACATTATATAACCCAACATATTCATCTTATTAGCTCATTTAAAGACTAGACGTTCAGGTCAGCAATGAAATATGTAAAATATATGTTACTGGGAGAAAAGGGCCAAGTCATCACTAATTTTAATTTGGGACTTATTTATAAATTAAGGTAAAATAATGAGATTTTAATGGAACTAGGTAAGTAATAAAACCAGTAAAATGGGAAAATTTGGTCAACTCGTCGTTTTTACCGGTAATTCATACTTTTTCGTAAACAAATTTTAGTTTGAAATTTTTTTTCGTAAATTAGGGTAAAATGTTAGGACTTTTTTGGAGATTTCCTTTTTCATAAATATAAACTTGTAAAAAAATTTTCTAATATTTGTTCTAACAATTAAAAAAAAAGACCAAGTGTGGAAAAAATTGCAAAAAATGTACTTTTGTAATATATAAAATAAAGTGTGTAAATTGATGTTTTTTAGACAATGAAACAGTTCATTGGCCAATTTCAGTGTTAACCTTTTTTTGTCCATGTGGTTTGCATTTGTCATGGATTGTATCCCCTTAGACTGCACGGTGTGGTGCAGTTTGGGACCGCACTTGGCCGCCACCTCAGCAGGGAACACCGCCCCCTGGGTGCGGTTTCGTGCGGTTCAAACCGCAGTGCGGCAAAAAATAGTCGCGGCTTGTGATTGGCTGCAGATAATTTGACTGTTTTTTGATTGGGTGGGGAGAAATTAAAGTTTTTATTTATTTATTTTTTTTGTAAATGAAGTGTGGCACCACTCCTTGGGTGTGGCAGGGAACCGCACTTTTGTGGTAAAAATGACGTGGCGCTTACGTGACAACGAAGGGAGTGCGGTTTCGGTGGCACGACACCCTATTAGATTCAACGGTTGATTGCATATCACCATAACTATAAGTAATTCGATTGCAACACCCTATTATTGATTAGTCATCTTATGTGATTCAATGATTTGGTTGGAAAGCTATTCAATTTCAGTCAGTTTTACTTCACCTATTCTACTCATAATTGTTATGAAAAAATCGAAAGCCAACACACCAGTGATGTACAAACATTAAGCTGGTCGGCCACCCAACCATGATCGTATTTCATTTATTGGAGATGATAAAATATGGAAAACATGTAGTCGATGCCGAATGAAGGGGAATTATGTTATATTTTTTTGCGTTCCAGGTGAACTCGACTGTTTTTTGGAATTATGTTAGTTCTTTTTTTTAATTATGTCCAAATAATTTTATGAAATGTTATGTTTTTTTTTTTCCTAAATTTATATTCTTAATAGTTATGAAGTGAATTTGATATTCCCCTTTTGTCTTTTTTGCTGTATACTAGTATATCACTTGGTTTCATGTTATGCTTGAAAAGACCCATAAGTCAAATTAAAGGGATTTCATGTCGGGATATAATAGAATCAAGTGGTCATAGTAAGAAAAAACGTTTCGTAGAATAAATAGCAAATGAAAATTTTCTATAATAGATATCATTGAGAGAATCATTGTGCCAAATTAAAAGCATTTTGTCATTTACAAAAAAAATATATATATTTATTTTAATTTTTTTGAGTGGATAGGCCATCTATTAATTAATTAAGTCATCATTCATGGGTGTTGATTGGACCATAAGAAGATAAACATAAACATAGAGGGACCATAAGAAGATAAACATAAAGAAATAGAGAATGTATGTAGTCACAAATAGCACGTGGGGTTTCTTTCTGGAGTGGTGGTCCACACGCTACACACGGTCAAACAAGTTGACCAAGAGTTTTGTCTCAATAGTCAATTCTGTTAATTTGGTCACAATTCTATTTAACAAAAAAAAAAAAAAGTATTATTGTTTAACACCGCCTCTACTTGTAAGAAAATGCAATTTGGTATTGACTTGGTCTAAAACTAGATACATACTCCAATTTGTTTTAGAGAAATTAAATATCCTGCTATCGTATTATTTTTTCTCCTGCAAATCCTCCAACCCATTTAATTTCTCTTTGTTTTAAGTTGAATATATATATATATATATATATATATATATATATATATATATATATATATATATATATATATATATATATATAAACTCAAAACAATGTATTTCCTCTTTCTAAGTTTGAAAATTTAAGTTAACAGAAGGATTTTTGGAAAAACCTTGAACATAAACCGATAATCTATTTTAAAACAGATCTCAAACCTATAAACCATTGTTAAAAAGATTCAGATCCAACGGCTGTTCAATCGATCGACTCATAAAATGCATTTTTATTGTGTTTGCACTCGAAGAATCCATCTTTTGTTTCGTTTAAAACTT